ACCTGATCTGTGTCTTACCAGTGATATGCCGAATCCGGGAGTTGGTTACGGTCAAGGAAGGATTAGCACCCTTGAACCGCCCTTTCGGTACTATGTAATTTCCAGTTGTCTTTAATTAAGAAAGTTGAAAGTTTAAATTTAAACGTAAAATAACGATCCAAAACTTACATTTGATTGATTGAAAATGTACCCTTAAGAAAGTAAAAAAGCCATGTTAGATAAAATGGTAAGAAATTAATTAATTAAATTAAAATGAAAAGAAAATAAATTAAGTAAAATGATAAAATGAAGAAAACAAAGATAAAATAGTAAGTAAAAAATAAATAATAAAATATATATAAAAAAGAAAAAGAAAAAGAAAATAAATAAAACAAATAAATAAAATAATAATAACAAAATACGAATAATATATATATATAAAATAAATAAAAAAGTAAATATATATAAATTAATAAATTAAATGACGAAAAGAACATATACACATATAATGGTAAAAAAAACCAAATAAAGATAATTACAATATATATATATATATATATATATATATATATATATAGTAACAATACTAATAATGATAATAAGTAGTTAAAAAAGACAATCACACCGAAAAGGGAAAAAAAGAAAGTAAGGTTTGGTGAAGTATAATTGACAGAAAGAAAAAAATGATGATGGGCGGGGACAAAGTAGGTAGATATAATTAACTTGTGTAGAATATATATATATATATATATATATATATATAATAGTAAAATGTATATATAACAACAATAATATCAATAAAAAAGAAAATAAATATAATATAATGATAATAAAAATATAGAAAATTAATAGAAAAATATATGTAATATTAAAAATATCACTTAAAATAAAAAAACCAAATATATATTAATAATAGGTATAAAAACTAAAATATTTAAAAAGAACATACGCATATATATATATATAACAAAATAAATAATATAAAAATAATACAAGTAATAATACAAGAATAATAAAAAGAAAGAGAAAGTAAAAAAATATAATAATAATAATAAAATATAAAAAATATACATATATAATATAAATAAGTAGAATAAAAGAAAAATATAATATTAAAAATAATAATAAATATAATAGTAATAATAAAAATGCAAAGAAAATAAATATATATATATGAGTAATAACGTATATAAATAGATAAAAATTAAAAAACTGATAAATTAAAAATAAAATTAGCAAGTATGTATATATATATATATATATAAAACTAATTAAGGGATTAAAATGAAAGGAATGTAAATCAAGTGGGTAAATGTCAAAGAACATTGAAGATTAAAACCGGCAAAAATAAAAAAAGTTTTCATTTTTTGATATATTTTTGTACTCTTATTCCAAAAATGTAATTTGTTTTTGCGAAATAGCCTCTAGGGAGCGTAGATATGAAATCAAAGTTTCGAAAAAACTCCCTCTGGGTCATCGGCTAAAACATTTGTCTTTAGGGTTCTCCAAAGAAAACACGATTAACAACGCATGCAAGTGAAGAGTAAAGAGAAACAAACGAAATATAAAAAAAGCTTTCACCTTTAGTACTTCGAATCGTTTACAATAGCTTTGTCTTTGTATTTTCCGTGTTTTCCTCTGTATTTTTGTCTGTAAATCGTGTCCTACAATAGTGAGTTACAATGTCTATTTATAGTGCTTGTGGATCATATCTTTAGGAGTTTAAATCATAGTAGAACTCTATCCTATTTTTAAGAGTTTAAATCCTAACAAAATTTTATAATATTTTTAGGAGTTTAAATCCTAGTGGGAGGAAAAAGTGTGTTTACACCATGCACCGAAGAGCTGCCTCTTACCACATGCAAGCCAATTTTCATAGTTTATAGTATTATATTTTAAAGTTTTTCATTTAAGGTAGATGTTTAATATTTTTTTATTCTTTCTAGTGCTACATTATAATAATCGTTAATAAATAAATATAAACCGTTCAAAATATAGCACATGTTATGTTTATATATATTTAAAAAATTTATTATAAAATAATTTAAAATTATATTTGTAAACAAATTTAAAACTCTAAAAACCCTTTTTTAAATCCTTTATGATTGTCAGTCGTTGCTTTTAGTCGTCGGCCACCTCATTGGCCATTGCACCCTTTATCGTCCAGCGGGAGAATCATCATACCTCCAAATCGTCGCACTTGTCCTGACTGGGTGAAAGAAATAATAATGTTGGTCGCAGGAGCAAGAGATTCGATTGTTGGATGGTCGATTAATCAACGCTGAATTTTCAGTTGGTTGACGACGACCAACATTGATAAGAGGATTTAAATTAAATTTTTTAGGGATTTTAGATTTTTTTAAATTAAAAAATGTTTTTAAATAATAATTTAATTTTTTTAAATATATAAATAATATGTGTCAAAATAACAATTTTTTTAATGACCATGATAAATCAAACAGTTAAAATTGTAATATTAAAAACCTTAAGTACTTACTTTGAGTGAAAAACAATTCATACACATAAAGTGGATAAAGAATATAATTTAGACAGTTAATAATTATAATCTCTACAATAAAAAATAAAACTAATAAAAATCATATAACATACCCAGCTAATTGCGCAACATACACTAAAAAGTTGTTTTATGCTTACATAATTATAAATTACAATATCGAAATTATAACTAATGAATCAAAATGAGATTGTACATATTGGGGCAATGTTTGATATTCTGAACTAAAAAGTAGAAATGTTCTTATCCAAGCAACTAATCTTGTGCATCAGTTCAAGTTTTGTGAAACAAGTTGTTTAGTAATTAATAGAATATGAAAGATATACGAAGCCAACTTTACAAATTAGGCTAAACAAACTTTAAAGACAAAAATATATAAATGTGATCCACCACCATCCACATCCATTTGGACCATTTCTCATTGCCTATTACAATAGTACAGTATGTTCTGTACGCGTTATTGTTTGGTGTACCGATTGATAGTGTCCACAAAAATAATGCCGTATGTCCTTTTTAGGGTTATTAGTTTATTATTTTTTGGGTCAAGAATGGATAAAGAGGGCGGATAAGGGCCGTCGTCCCCGAAAATTTTAACATTATCATATATTTTATTTTATTTATATATATTTTTATTAAAAATATATTGTAGTTTTATAAATATATTCATTCCTAACATTTTAGAGGTTTAATACTAACATAAAATCATGTATCTATTCTGCATGCTTTGTGCTGCAATCTAGTTTTTATTATGTGCTCTATGATTTTATTCTCATTGCTTGTATTATTAATCTATTTCATATATAATTTTAATGACATTTTAAAGAAAATTATATACCTAGATTAAATATAATTATGTATAATGAAAAATAAAAATAGTATTTTTAAAAGAAAAAGAAAATAAAAAAATACGTTTTTTAGAAGATTAATTTCCCCCCCTAAAAAAAGTATTTCATCACTTCACTTGACAAATTGAGTTGCAGTGTTGTTAGACATGGTATTAGCATTAGAAGTGAAGTGAAGTGAAGTTAATCGTTGCAATCGAGAAAAGTTTGAAAAAGAAAGAGGATTTCGATTATAGAGTTTCTGTTAGATTGCTGGAAAATTCCAACTATGAAAAGTTAAGGTTGAAGGAACGAAGAATATGGTTTGACATAGAGATCATCTGATGATGTCGAACATTTTAACTCCTATTTTTTCAGATTAACTTTTTTTTTATAAATTTTAAAATCATTTCTTAATAAATTCATCTTATAAAAAAAAGAATTATAAAACGATTTGGATATTCTGACTGTCAAAATTATTATCAAAACTTGGTGACAATTATAAATTGAAGCGATTGTGATAATATATAAAATATAAAATTTTGTTAAAGTATTTTTAAAATAAAAATTAATTAAAATATAAAAACATAAATAATTTTAATTAAAGTTTAAGAATCAAATTAAAAATTTAAATTTAAATTTAAATATAAAAAAGTAAAAGTGAATAATATGTGTAATTTATAGTAAAACCACTAAAAGCAAATCGCAAATTTAGACCATATGTAAAAAGACTACTGTTTAAACTTTGAACTCCACTGAGCCGACCGGTGTTAATTTAATCGAAAATCAACAACCCCAGTTTTAACTCTAGCCAAACCGAGCCGAACTCGGCATGTGGAGTTTGTATGGCAGTAAAGCGTACAATACGAGTCTATCCAACATCTATTTCTATTTATAATCCCTCTCCGCTCTTTGATTGTTTTTTCAATCCGGTCCGGTTCAGCTAACTAAGCCGAGCTGGTGAAGAAAAAGGTCCAAGTAGTTTGCACAAAAATTATCTTCTCTATCCCGTCAAAGTCATCTTTCCAATGGAGACGAATACTTTCTCATTTTAGCCTTCGAAAACTGATTTGAGTCTGCCTTCAAATCAAAGCCTTCAGGTTTGAATACGCTGAGCAAGATCTAGATTTCCGAATGGAAGAAGAGAAAAGAGAGCTTGGGCAGAGCTTGATCGATGCGGTGAACCAAATGGCTCCCATCGGAGCCATCGGTGATTACAGGTGTGCCGTTAAGAAGGAGCTTTGCAATCTCGCTAGGAGACTGAAGCTGTTGACGCCAATGTTCGAGGAGACTAGAGAGAGCAAAGAGCAAATCTCTGAAGAAACTGTTAAAGCTTTGGTTTCGTTGAAAGAAGCTTTGATTTCGGCGAAGGAGTTGCTTAGATTCGGCAGTGAAGGCAGCAAGATTTACCAGGTGTGTGAGTATTGCTGTTTGATTTCTTTTGGATATGTTTGGCTGCTGAGAAAAATGGTGGAAAACTAGTTTGTCAAGTGGGTGCAGATAATCAAAATATTTCTCACCATAACATTATCTAAAATCAATTGATAAGTATTACGATTAAATTTAGCTTATCTAACTGAAGGTAATCGAATACTGAAATTCTAATATGGTATTTACTGCTACATATTTTTCTTTGTCTAATTAATTATATGGAAAAAAATGAAAGAAAAAACCACTCAATCCAATTAATTATTTTTAAGGTTCCTTTTGCAGATTGAAATAATCATACGTCTCATCTCAAAGATTTTCAAGCGTCATAGTCATCGATAAATACAAAGCTAAATCAGAATACTTACTCCTACTACAGATTTTACCTTAAAAAATGACATAACGTTGTTGATTAAATTTTAGGATTGTCATTTTGTGTCTGGATTGTTGTCAAATCTGAATCATTCATTTCATTTAACCTTCTTGATCCTCTTTTGTTTCCATTAGTTCCAACCACGATTTATCATTTAGGGGTTACATTGTGTCATGTTTTACATGCTCGTCGCAGCTTCTATTATTATGCTTATAATATAAGGTTTTGAACCTAAGTGGTGTCATCATCCTAACTAATGTCCAACATGCTATGCTTGGAAGCCTGTTAAAATTGTGGAAGTTTTACCACAGTACGGGAATGATTATTTCATTCTGATTGTGGAGATTTGTTTCCATATCCATAGTATGACCTGCTTCATTTCAGGGAGTTCTTTTGAGGTTGTAAAATTGAGAGTGAGTAATGGAGGAGGGAGAGATAGAAGGGGATGGGAACCGGGAGGTGGTGGTTAGTGGCATCCCTGATATATATGGCTCCTAAGCTTCTTTTTTTAGTGCTAAACTTTTTGAGTGTTTCGGGACAGGCAAACTTAATTGGGTTGTCATAGTCATAGGTTTTGCTTTGGATTTTCGAGCTTTATGCCATATTGAATGCTACTGTCTCTGTCTTTGTTTATCCGGTCTGGAATTGTATTACAAACCTACGTGTACTTTGGGTTGTGGTTAAGATTGACACTCTTGCCGACTAAAGAAATTAGTGTCTCAAAAACAATCATTATTATAATATTTGCTTACCTGTATAATTTGAGATGGTAGCCATGAGCTTATAACCACCACAGAAGGCATTTCTATAATCTTTGCTTGAAGCAGTATTATTGTACATTGCTATTTTTTGCTAGATCTATTTATTTCTAAAATTAACTGTTTGAAACTCTGGTTCTGCTTTAAGTGACAAATTTTAGCCCAAAGTGGTAATATGTTGCGTTGCATTTGGCTATTGACTGATAAACTCTTTTTATTCTGCTTACAGGTTTTAGAGAGAGATCAGATTATGCAAAAATTTCATGAAGTGACATCTCGGGTGGAGCAAGCTTTGAGCGGAATTCCCTATGAGAATCTTGACATATCAGATGAAGTTAAAGAACAGGTATAACTCTTTCAGTAAAACATTCTTTGAAAAAAGTCGCTGTAGATTCTTCCTCTTGCTTTGTCATACTTGAATTCCAGCCATCTTAGACATGGAAGAAAGTTCCTCAAGCAATCTCTATAATCATGATTGAGTTTTAATGGAGTTGCATGTGATTTGAGGAACCAAAGATGATATGGATGGAAATTAACATGGAGATGCTCAAGTAGAGCAACCAAAACTATTACTTTTCTGCTCTTAACACTATTTAACTAGAGTTTGAAAGCCATAAAGCAACTTTTGGATACTAAACTACTGACATCATTTTTTTATTAAAAAAAAGGCTTTACGTGTTGAAAATTTCTATGTTTAGGTGGAGCTTGTTCTAGCTCAGTTCAGGAGAGCTAAAGGAAGGGTTGATGCTGCAGATGTTGAACTATATGAGGATCTATTATCACTCTACAATAAGAGTAGTGATGCAGCAGCAGATTCAGATGTACTTAGGAGATTGACCGAGAAGTTACAATTGGTGGGGATAGCTGAACTTACTCAAGAATCGCTAGCTCTACATGAGATGGTTTCTGCCAGTTGTGGAGATCCCGGGGAAACCATTGAGAAGATGTCAAACTTATTAAAGAAAATCAAGGATTTTGTACAGACCGAAAATCCTAATTTGGATGCTTCTGCGAGGGAAAAGAATCTTCCTCCTAGTAGTGGTCAGGCGACCACTGATGGAAATCACAAGACTCCAGTTATACCCGATGATTTCCGCTGTCCAATATCCTTGGAGTTGATGAAGGATCCTGTCATTGTTTCAACAGGGCAGGTATATTTATTGTAGATTTCTTTCTTATGATAGACCAATATTTTCTTTTCTTTTAAATTTTTAATCATTTTCAGCCTTGGACTCGCCCTGTTTTACTTCTCTGTAGATGCTCAGATTTGTTTGATATTGCATTGTATTAAATTGTAATGCCATTAGTTTATTTGGTCAAAGGCTAGTTCTTGAAAGTCTCTTAGTCATATATTTGTTCTCTATTTAAAATGCATGGAGTAACTGAACTCGCAACAGCCAATGATGACGAGAAGGATTTTATAAGAACCTTAAGTTTTAAATTCCTACGTTGGACAATTGCACATATATGCAGAGCCCTAGGTCTTGTTTACCATTACCTTTGTGCTATATTTTTATCAGGTTTCATTATTCTCTTCTGTAGACTTATGAACGTTCTTGTATTGAGAAATGGCTGGAGCAAGGTCATGGAACTTGTCCGAAGACTCAACAGACCCTCAGTAGCCGGACCCTTACGCCCAATTATGTACTGCGTTGTCTAATAGCTCAGTGGTGTGAGGCAAATGGCATTGAACCACCCAAGAGACCCAGTAGTTCTAGACCCAATAAAACCATATCTGCCTGCTCACCTGCAGAGCATACTAAGATTGAAATTCTCCTTCGTAAGCTTTCATCATGCAGTCCTGAAGACCAAAGAATGGCTGCAGGTGAAATCCGTTTTCTTGCCAAACGAAATGCAGATAATCGTGTGGCCATCGCTGAAGCTGGGGCCATACCTCTCCTTGTGACACTCCTTTCAACACCTGATTCACGGACCCAAGAACATGCTGTAACAGCACTTCTTAACCTTTCCATTTGTGAAAATAACAAAGGAAGTATCATATCCTTTGGAGCAGTTCCCGGTATAGTGCAGGTACTTAAGAAGGGGAGCATGGAAGCTAGAGAGAATGCAGCTGCTGCCCTCTTCAGCCTTTCTGTAGTGGATGAAAATAAGGTGACAATTGGTGCCTCGGGAGCAATCCCTCCGCTAGTGACACTGCTAAGCGAAGGGACACAAAGGGGCAAAAAGGATGCAGCAACTGCACTCTTTAATTTGTGCATATACCAAGGGAACAAGGGGAAAGCAGTGAGAGCTGGAGTTGTGCCCACATTAATGTGTTTGTTGACAGAACCTGGAGGTGGAATGGTGGACGAGGCATTGGCCATACTTGCAATACTCTCTAGCCATCCGGAAGGTAAGTCTGCCATAGGAGCAGCAGAGGCAGTGCCGGTTTTGGTAGATGTTATTGGTAATGGATCTCCAAGGAATAGAGAGAATGCAGCTGCAGTTTTGGTTCATCTCTGTTCCGGAGACCAACAACATTTAGCAGAGGCCCAGGAACTAGGAGTGATGGGCCCTTTGTTGGACCTAGCACAAAATGGTACAGATAGGGGCAAGCGGAAGGCTGCTCAATTGCTTGAGCGCATGAGCAGGTTCATTGAGCAGCAAAAGCTGGTGCAGGTGCAAGCTGAGGCCCATGCTCATCAGTCCGAGTCTCAGTCTGAGACTCAACAACCACAGCCACCCTCCGTGGCATATGCCATCGATAGATGAGGTTCGCTTTGCCTTTATTTTTGTTCCTTCTTTCACCTTGTTTCATTTTCTATATTGAAGGGGGCGACTTTGCTTTAGAGATGAAAGATCGCCTATCAAACCTGTAAGTTATTCATTTGTTTTGTGTTGAAGAATACATTATTCATACAACGATCAAAGTTCTGGAAAGAAAGAAAAAGAAACCGAAAGGAAAGAAGAGATTTGATATGTATGTGAACTTGTACTATTATAATATCTGTTACGACTGTAATCATCCTCAGTTTTTATACGAGAGATGTTTCTTCGTATTCAAATCGAACTTGTCACCCTTAGTCATTAGTGATATATATGCAACCAGAAAAGGGTGCAAACTTGTCAACCTTGAAGTTTTCATTCTATCTATGTTTTGCTACATTCATGTTCGTTTCGCTTGAAGCAGCTATATTTTCAGGATCACTTGTAGGAAACTTTGGATCTCCTGTGTAGGTAAACTAGGTTTCTGGTTTTAATCGTGTTTCAGATAGGATACACGCATTCCCGTTAGGAAAGCTTCTGTGTTTGTAAGTTTTAGTGCAAGTGGAAGAAATACTAAAGAACATCGTACTTTTTAGGATTCAAGTTATTCAAACTTTATTAGAAAAGAAACCATATTTATTAGAATTTAAATTCCAATTCACTAGAGCCGATCTCAGTAGGAGTGTAAACGTGCGCTAAATGTCATAGTATTACTAAGATGTGAGTCATTAAATGGCGTTACCTATCTTTACTAAGACAGTCTTTATCAATTTGAAACATAACCATGACATTAAGTTTGTGAAGATATATTATCGATCTTAAAGCAATATGACACACATACACATATTTCATATATGATAATACGTCTACCGCATTATAAAATCACATATCATTTCATACTTATCAATGCAAGGCAATAATCATTTCTTCAAATCTTATCATTAATGTTCGCATGCTATATTTCTTACTTATAAGTATTACTATATCACTTGATAATTTTATGAAATTCACATAACATACATGACTAACAATGCTGTAATGTCTCTTTTATTAATTCATAAGTAATCAAAGGATCATATTTGGACTGTTTTATATTTACCGTCAATCGATAACTTATTTGGAACCTCCATTATAAATTTAACATCCCAAGTCATTATTTAATTGCTTTCTCCTTAGATGAACTTTTTAAAATATCAAAGCAAACTTTTATGAAACTTCAATCTTGAACATTTTTTCCTTAAAAGACTCAACACACCACTTTTTCTTTTGAAACTAAAAGACATAACGCGAAATGATAGTTGATGTAACACGAATCAAGCGATTTCGGTAATAAAAACATTATTATTATTCTTTAAGGTACCATAAATGTTAGTGTGCGAGCATTCAATTTCAAACGGTTGAGAGTTATCTTGTATTTACCTCATATTAATAAATAAAAAAATCAAATGACGAGTATTATTTTAAAATTTAAAATCATAGGTTTTAGGGAAACTTGTGACGTAAAGGCTTTATCTTTTAATATTTATAGTTTGATCCAATTACTATACAAAACCTTTGTCATTCAAAACTTTATAGGTATTACCCAAGAAGGGTTCCAACTCACTTATTTACGTTTGTCCTTAACATTTTATAAAATTTATGATATGGCCATGGTATGAATTTTAGAGTGTTATAAACATTTCATTTTTTTAAAACTCACTTTCTTTTCTCTAGCTATCCCCAGGCTGAAATAAATATAATGACATGGCCCTTGTTTTAGTCCACTCCATACATAGGGTAACTTTTTAAAATATAATGATTTTTGAACGAAAAAAATCATAATATATTTTTTCCAATCAGTTATATATTCTAGGGTAAATTATATCACGTCACTTAATTATTAGTAATTTTTAAAAGGGTTATAAATTTTTAAAAAATTACAACCGAATCACTAAATTAATTGTAACAATCATGTCACTATGTCCTTAAATCACATATGAGTCATTCATACATCACCCTAATTGTAACAATTAATAATTAGTAATATTTTCATTATGATAAATTCACATATTTTAAAACTCTATAAATGAGTCATTCAATTAATCAATGGTAACAATCAAGATATATTCAATATAAAATCTAATCATTTATGATGGCTGACGAACCCCGAATTTCATTATAAGCTTCACCTAAATCTCTTCATTCATTTTATTGGATTAAGTTTCAAAGAATCTTCCTCAAAAGCTACAATATCACCCCCAAAATATTTAAACTTCTTAAATTTTGATCTACACCGTCCATTGTTAGATGACATCTGTCCCTATATATGTTATTTCTCTCATCGACAACCCCTCTGCTGTTCCAATTGTTGGAATGGAAACCCAAAATCATTCATTTGTAGTAAAATTAATTGAGTGACTCGATTATAACTTTTTTAAAATATAATGATCCATTTATAAATTTATTTAAAAATAGAGGGACATGTCGTGTAATTTACCCAAACAAAAATCATTTGGAAATATCTATTTTAATTGCACTTTTTAATGCTCGTTTGAGATTTAATAGACAATGATCTAATTATTACAATTGATTAACTAAGTGGCTTGATTGTGATTATTTGTAAGCTTACTAATAATAAAGTGACCTGTGCTAGAATTTACCCCATATTACACTATATGACCTCGGAACTTGGCCTGGCACCTTACTTTCGTGGATATTTTTCTTAATTAATCATTGATATTCAATTTATTGATGGACTAATTTAAATTGTGTTTTGTATAAGTTTATTATGAAGATAATTCTCCCAATTTAATTTACTATATTCGCAAACGTATAATTCGAACCTCTAAACTTACTTGAAGGGTATAATCTCAATACACCCTTCCTTTCATCATTATTCATCGTACCACAAATGCTCAACAAACAATCCCTCATTTCCCACCCAAATATGGTAAAATATTGTTGCTTTGTTCCTCACATCTTCCTCATCAAAGGGATTTTACTTGCTGTTTTGTTTTTTTACTTTTTATTTTCTGTGTCCTAACTGGGTATAATGAAGACAGAGACAGGTTTGCTTTATTCGTTGTTGCATGACAGTGTCTTGGTTCTTGCAAAAAGCAAAATTTCCCCCTTGATTCCTTCCCTACTCTCCATGTTCTAAATCTAATTCTATTTTACCTTGTGTTTAACTGTAATTATTATCAGTGGAAGATCTTGCTCTTCTGGGATCTCATTTGAAGCTTACCCGTTTTGAAAAGAAAAGAAAACAAAACAGATTCACTTCTTTTGACCACCCATACACTAAAAAGCAAAAAAAAAAAAAAAAAAAAGCATTACTATTGTTCTTTCTATAAAGCTAGAATACTTGAACCAACTTTGGTTGAACATGGAATTGCTTGGTTTTTAGCGGGGCTTTTTAGGGGTTTCTTGGCTTCTTTGTCTTAATTCAACTTGCAAAATTATTAATAAAAAGACAAGACGGGATCCATGCAGCAGATAAACAGATTCCCTGCCGAGGATAAAGGTATGCACAAACTTGATTTGATTAACAAAAACTTAGTTAAAATTGCGAAATTAGTGGTTTTATCCATACACGTCCTTAGGTTAAAAAAGGTGAAACTTCATTCAAGGTCACTTGGGTTTAGTAATAAATAGGTCATTTTTTAATTCTAAATGTTATAAATAAGTCATTCAATTAAAATTTTATTATAAACACGTCACCTAGTCATTAAAATTGAAGCTAATGTCTAAAATGCCCTAGTATGATAGCATTCTTAGTCCTAAAAAATTATATAATTTATCAACTTGGTCTTAATCCAAAACAGTTTACTAAATTTAATCCTGAATTATAAAAATTTCATCAATTTAATTTTTTTGTGATATTGTCAAACCAATTGAACCTATCGGATCAAAGCAGTAGTTGGATAAGTACATTCTTCCATAAAGCAACAACAGGTTACTGTTAAACATTATTATACCAAAAAAGTAACATGAAAAATAATATAACATTTATGATAGAAGAACAAAGATTAAAATGATCGAATTTTTAAACATGAATAGTTAAATTTATTGAATTATTTAATAATAGGACCAAATTGATAAATTTTATAAATTTTAAAGACTAAAACTATTATTATATCATGTTATATCACTATTTCGTCTAATATTTATCGACCAAATGATCTATCGATAACAATATACTAGTTGAACAACTTATTTATAACTTCTAGAGAAAAAAGTAACTTGTTTATTATCAAATCCATAATTAATTTACCTTGAGCGTAGTTTACCCTAAATGGAAAAGGCATGCGAGATGGAATCAATATTTGACAATCAACGATTGCAAGATACAACATTAAATATAGATTCTATGTCAATAAACATTACAGACAGATCCTTAACCTCAGATGATGAATTGAAAAATTCATGAATCGTGACTGAAAGCCAAAGGAATTTGCAAGTGCATGCATCGTTTCAATATCATAAACCTCATCAACTTTATTCTTCAGCTGGAATTCCAACACGATTCTTTAAAACCAAAATTTATTGCCATGATTTTATGCAGCTTACATTGTTAGTAGAATATTTTCTTTGTTATTCTCCTATAAGGAATATTCTGTTGAAATGTGGCATAAGTTACATATGATGATCTGCAGGAAAGAATACTGTACTTTCTTCAATCTTCATGGCATTGCATCCTTTGTAAACAATAGCAATGAATGAAGAAAAAGAAACAAGAGAAGGAAATTACCATAAACGATATTTCATAGAGGAATGAGCTTACATCATTCATGTCAGACAAGGAACCCCATAACTTCAAACACAAAAGATAGAACAAATATGCAAACAAAAACAAACACATAGCTTAAGAAAACCCCAATATATATATATAGTATGAAACAGCATTTGCTCCTTAGAGAGGAAGATGATGAGAGAGAAGTTCCACAACGAAACCATGCAATTTTACCATCCATTATTTAGCTTTTGAGGTTGAGGACTTGGAGCTTGTGCAAGACTAGTGTGATAAAGGAACAATACTACTTTATGTCAACTATCATCTGTCATTAAAGACGGAATGAAGCAGCTGAAACTTCAAAGACCAGCTTTAAGCTGTTTTCTATCAAGAAAGATTGCAACTATAGCTATAAGAGTGACCACAGATGATTACTTGAGACCTGATAAATCTGTCCAACTGTTTCCTCCTCCCCAATACTGATTATTCTGATCAGAAACACCCATCAATAACCTTGATAGATTTAGCCCTTGGTTGTTGTTTTCCACTTTCACTGGAGCTCGCTGAGAAACCCTAGAGTTTGAATTCGTGGAACGAAGAATCTGACTTTCTCCCACCATTGAAGACGATGATTCCATATACTCACTTTGTAATGGATATAAATCATTAGTTGACTCAAAGAACGGGAACTGGTGATGGTTCATTGATCTTACTGATAAAATAGCATTGCTCATGTCTGAGTTAGTTCCTATATGAAACCCCATATCAGCTTGCCCACTAACGTCACTTGTTGGCCCTATATGACCTTGAATTCCACCAAAGTTTAAGCCAATATTTCCTATAATATACTGAGAAAAGCTTTGCAGAGAAGCCATAAAAGGTAAATGAGGTGTTTGATGCGGAAAATGAGCAGTGATTTCAGAGGGCATAACAGAATTGGTTGAATTTGGATCACTTTGCCTCTCGGCAGAGGCTGTGGGTTTTGAGCTACTATTACTACTGCTGCTTTTCTTCTTCTTGTTTCTTCGGCATCCTCCACCCACAGGGACATTCCTAAGAGCTCCTCCTCTAGTCCAATACCGCCGACACGTCTTGCAAAAGTGGCGTGGCTGTGTTAGGCTGTAGTTATTGAAGTAGCAAAACTTGGTGTTGGTGGACTCACACCGTGGACATTTCAGTGGTGCTTCTGGTTGTGGAGCCTGAGCTAGCCTGGCTCTATCGGCCATCGAACCAGCCCTATGAGAACCGGCACCACCAGCTCCAACACGATGATCAGGAGGCGCAGGTAGAGGTGGAAGCTGAGGATTTTCACTGAAAGTAACTTGGTGATGATTAAGCTGCTGAAAATCGCAACAAAGAAAACACTTGGTATATTCAGGAAAATTGCACAAAGTAATACGAATATGTATCTTTTTCAATTAGCTTTTCTTGAGTGCATAAGCAGTGGATAGAAATTGATGAAAAAACCCTTACCTCCTGCCAATTGGGAGGATCTAAATAAACTGGAACAGATGGGAAAACCATAGTTTTTTTCCCCCTTTTACAAAAAGTTAATAGGTTCTTTAGCAAGATAAGGTGGAGAATCACACTAAGAGAGTACCAGAGACCAAGAAAGCAAAGAGAAAAGAGAAATAAAGAGACCGGGGGTGTGCGGAGATGGCTTTTGTTTATTTATTTATTTATTATTCCTTCATTATTCTCTCATCTCTCCTTTTTGTTTTATTATATTATTAGGGTTTCGAGTGGATGAAGTTTTTCCTTCGCCAATTAACTTTCTTCCTTCCTTCCTTTCCTCATATGTTTTTCCACTATTTATTAATGGTTTTAGTGTTCAAAAGTCGATTAATCCATGGCATCCACAAAAGTACTTACCTCCCCTTCTTATTATGACGGGATTGCAGAGGATTAATCAACATAGAGAATTAATTTTTTTTATTACATTTCGTTTATTTCTTACAATTTGTGTTTGAAATTTAAGATTTTTTACTCCCAATAATATCTTTTCGAATATTTAAACCTCAATTTTCTATAGCACAGGATCACACTCTTAAACTTAAGAACTCGTGAATGCTTTTGTCTGTTATATTTTTTTCAAAAATGTTCTTGGTCTTGTATATTTTAATTAAGGAATCAAATATGTTTATTTCTTTTTCATATTATAGATAATATCTTGATCTTTGATTACAGTTGTACATTCTCGAGTTCCCCATGAACTTCCCTTTTTCCTTGAAAACATGATCGGCTTTTTAACAAAAAGCCTTAATTTTATATTTGATAGTATTACTTTTACTACTTTTGGGCAGCTTATGTATGTATATAAAGAATAACATACAATCATTCGTAATTAAGCACCGACATCTAGCCTATTTTTCCTCAGCCTTGTTGCGACTCTAGCTGTTTGAATAATTTGCTTCGCTGTTCTGAAACTTTAATGGATGCAGTTCTTCAATATTTGAAGCTCATCAGTCATTATCCATTCATGTCTATCTTCTTCAATAAGGAATATTGGTTTCTATATACTCACTATGATTTAGAAATGCAGCAAAGAACCAACAAGACTGATGATTATATATTACTCAAATATATGGACAAGAAATGGGGGAAATAGCCTGCCAAGATAAACATTTAATAAATACTATCACTTCTTTATAGGTATAGTTCTTGAGTGGGATTATAGTTTATCTCCCACGTGCATGTAGTTTTGTTTTATTGCCATTAATTATTAATCAATCTGATCTTTAGCTTTTCTTTTTTGCTTTGCATGCATGCATGTATGTGTATAGGTGCAATATTTGTTTTAAAGATTCACTATGAACTAAAGCTTACAAGAAATGGAACTTGATGGCCCTGGAATCTAATTCCCTATCAAATTCTGAGCACAATACGGCCTTTTGCTCAATTTCATGCTCAAAAGCTGAGGCAAAGGCTAACCCTCCTGTCCCACGGGTTTTATAGTTGGAAAGGAAGCAATTTTCCAGCTTTAACACATTCGTCTGTCCTCAACATTTACCTCATAACAATTATGTTGGAAAAATTCAATATTTTTAAAGCTTTAATGAGAAATTGATCTAATGTTGTTGAGGAAAATGTGAAATCAATTGTTAGTTCATAAATGTACAGATATATACAGTGTGTGTAATGTGAATGTCCGAACCGATCGAACCCTACGTGGGCTTGTAGATATTTTAACCCAAATTTAAAATATTTTTTTCTTAAAAAAGAGCATATCTTTTCAAAATTTTATTTTTGGAACTAGAAGGTTCCTTTAATTAAAACAATAATTTTGGAAATTGCTTGATTCTCATTAATTAAATGCTTCATTATGTCAAAAATTTTCAATAGTATACAATGTGAACACCTATAAATATTGTGTAAACTTATTAAGTTAAAACATAATTCAAACAACTCAAAAAGGAATTCTTTTCTTCTCCACTAGTTTTCAGTGATAAATGAAGGCAATGATGTGGTTTATGATCTCTGCAGATGTGCAACTATAACTTATCATCTAATTGTTATATTTTGGGAGACAGACAACTAATGATCTCAATCACCATGAAAATGGCAAAACATATGTCTTAAGGTAACTGTAGGTACAAACTTCAACTCTTTTTTGTTTGTTTAATATGTCAAAAATTGTGTATTTATTTCTATGTTGTTCTTTTCGATTATTTAAATAATTTTTTTTTACTTTTATCGTCTCATATTTTTATATACCTTGGACATATGAATTAATTAATCAAATCCTAATGTATATGACAAATTGACAGGTGAATATACATCTACAACTTTACTATGGAGTATCTTTTTATAATAAGGGGTGGTTGAGATAATCAAATTTTCATATAATCTAAATATTTATTTATATTTTTAATTGATAATATTTTTTTATCTATTTAAATTTTATACTTTATTTTCTTAAAAAAAATTATAAATTCATTTTGCGAAATAATTTAACTAGGGTTTTGGCTAAGGTGGGGTTGGCTCAGTTCAGAGATGGAAAACTACGATGAGGCCGGAAGACATGGTTTCCCACACTGAAGAAAAGAGAGAGATACAGTACCTTATCTGCTCTGTCAAAAACTCAAAAACACTGAAATACATGTGGCAGCGCGTTTAGTCTTGGAGTTCGACCCCTCACAAAGTAAAATCGTAATGGAGAAAATAAAAAAGACTGTAACCTTCCTTCCATTTCATTGACCCAAACTTTTACCTCATAATAATTGCACATGAAAAATCTGACAACAACAAGAAGATGCTACAGTTGCACTATGATTCTTAAGGCAAGGCATTGCCTCTTAGCTCCGAAAGATAAGCTACAGTTCCCCATGTTCATTTCTAGGGTTTTGAACTATGAAGCAGTCCATAGATGATGAGGAAAATTGAGCCGCCGAGAGATATTCACGGGTAACGTCAGCCAAAGACAGGGTGGTTGTTTTGTAATTATTTTCATTTGGAAGCAATTTGGGTAAACTTTGTGTTTGAAATAGAGTCCAAAATCAGAATGATCTCATCGGCAGCCAGTGAGATTGATTTATGGGAAATGGAATTGAGTATGCAATCCAAACTCCATCCGTTCTGAAAAGTGAAAGGGATAAGGAGGCTAAGTATTATTTTCCCCACTCCCTACGCCTAAAGATAATTCAGTTTCGGCTTTTTTTGCTTTCTGCTTTTCACATTATTAATTCGCTCCCTACTTCTTTTCCCTTTCTCTCAAATAAATACATTTTAACATTCTCTTTTAAATTATTATTATAATGAAGTAAAAATTAAATAACAATGGTATGCTTTTAACATTTTCTTATGCTTCTGCTTCTCAACATCATTAAATTTCCTATTTACGAAACTTAATGTCTACTAAAAAAAGAGCCCGTGAAAATGGACTAATATTGCATAAATCAAAGAAGCGGCAAAAATAACAACCCATCACAGTAATTAATTCCCAGAAACGAAATTATTTTGAACACTACATGCAAATAATTATTGACCAACACTTTTTGAATTTAAAAAAGGGCTTAATGCAGAAAGAACCAACAAGGAGGAAATTAAATCCAAAGACTTCTTGTCGAAAAATGTCTCTTATAGCTACTGCTTTAACAAGCTATTGAAACTGAGATATGAGGCCATCCCAATTCTTAAAATAAGAGTTTATAATTCTAAAAGCATTTGGGAAGAGTTACCTATTGTAACCGTCTTTCGGGTTGGGCCCCGGAATTGGGATTCGACTTGGAAAATATGGATTGAGAGTCACCACCGACCATTTTAAAACAAATTTAGGTGGGTCGGACACCATCTTACCTGATCTGCGTTTTACCAGAAACGTGTCGGGTTCGGGAGTCGGTTACTGTCAAGGAAGGATTAGCACCCTTGAACCGCCCTTTCGGTACCAATTAATTTATCGGTTGTCTTCAATTGCGAAAATTAAAACTTAAAATTCAATTGATCATTTTTGCCTCCAATATGGTTGCTTTTTTTTCACTTTGTTATTATCACCCTCTAAACACATCCCCGTTCCCGCGAAACATGGAAGCTCTTCAAGCCCCATCTTTTCGAGCTCTTCCTCTAAAACCTCTCCAAAAGCCCAATCTGAATGGCCATTTTCCCAATATATCGATGCTCGTACCCAGGACAACCAAGAGATTCTCTTCCATCACCGCTTCATCCCCCACCGTATCTGCTCCCAAGCGTGAGAAGGACCCCAAGAAACGTGTCGTTATTACTTGGTTACATTGATGGGAAGAACGACAGGAGACTTGACGATTGCTTGAGGTACTGTGTTGTTGCAGGCAAGAAGGCTGTGGAAGATGCCGATCTCGGGGGCGATACGTTATCTAAGGCTGATAAGGAGCGAGCAGGAGTGCTTGTTGGAACTGGTATTGGTGGTTTAACAGTGTTCTCTGGCGGCGTCCAAAAGTTGATTAGGAAAGGTATAAAATTTACTGCAATTGTCCCTGTTTGATCGATGTTACTATTATCCAAGATTTATATTTTTACTATGTAATGTCCATTTTCTTGTCTGCTGCTCCGTTTAGAAGAAATTGTGCTTTTGGGCAGAAACTCTTTGAAATTGTTGGGTAAAGTAAATAATATGATTTAGTATTTGGTATACCTTAAGCGAAAAAATAATTTTACAAGCAGTTTTAAATGATGACAAGTGTACTTCAAGTGTTTTTAAAATTTGAAGTGTAATTAAACATGACACTTGTCATTATCTTAAGATAGCTTGTGGAACTCTTGTGAAATTCCACTGGGCGTGTACCAAGTAATAATCCAGTAGTAACTCTTCATCTCTTAATAACACAAATCCCACTGTTCCCATTTTGCCCATGGATGCCATGCACGTGGAGGAACCATGCAACTTACATCATTCATTTTATTCTTAATTATTTTTTTTCTTTACTAACTTTTATTTATTTTTGTTATTTATTTTATTTATCATTAGTGTATTAATTTTTTTTTCTCATATTTATTTTTATTTTACGATCTAAACAATATTTTTGACCTTTTTTAGAGATTTTCATTCGATC